CCCGAGTGCCAAGATATACTGATGATATATGCCCCCCAGCTCCTCGTGGCTCTGCTTTTCCAAGTATTCATGAGCACAGAGCAGATGCCAGAGGAGGTCAAGACCTTCTGGAGCCAATGCCAGTGGCAACATGACCTTCCCAACAACCCCAACAGGTGCTCCATCCCAATCCTCCCTCTCTCCCATGCCTTTGGGGCTTGGGCCAGGGCTCCCAGCATGATCTGACCAAATTTGCCCTGCACACAGATTTGCTGTACAGACCATCAAGGCCCTGCTCTGCTGTCTACACTGGGAGAACGAGGTGGTGGCCATGGAACGCAAGCGTGGCTGGGACACCCTGCTCCATGCTGACACCCACCACTATGCAGTGGGGCTGCTGGCCAGGTGAGACACCCTTCTCTCTGCTGCCACCATCATCTCTTTCTGGGGCACGGGGCAACCTACAGAGGCCCAGGGTCATGGGCCAGATGTTCTTGGCACCAAGGGCTGGAGAAGCAGTTTGGAAAAGGATGTGAGGCAGGTGCACAGGAGGAGCCACCTCCCAAAGCGCCCACATCCAGTCCAGGGCTTCTGCGGAAAGACCAGACCTCTGGGAGTCAGTCCTGGGAGACCTTTGCTCACCCTGCTCAGGCTCAATGGCTCCTTTCTTTTCTTGACAGGGAGATGCGCAATGTCTTGATCCCCTTATTTTCTGACATTGCAACCCACGTGCTTGGACTGCTCAGCAGGGAGGAGCCCCGCTGGGAGCTCCCTGCGCTTGCCTTCCTTGTTGAGGTGAGCCTGGTGGCGAGCGCTGCCTCGCCCAGCTGCCTCCCCCCTCTCTGTCCTCTCACAGCCGCAGCTGCCCAGGCTGGTGCCTGTGCCCTGTGCTGCTGCCTGGGCACCGTCCTGGGTGGCTCTGGGCTTCTCCTGCCCGGCCACCACCTCACTGCTCTCTGCCTTCCAGCTCCTCGACTATCTGGATGGGAGAAAATGTCATGAGAGTGTCCTGCCTATCCTAGCAAGGCACCTGCACAGCCAGTGCCCTGAGAGCCGACGCCTGGCACTCAGAGGCCTCCTTGTGCTCAGTGTGGATCCCTCAATGGTGAGAAGGGGACACCCAGCTGAAGCCACACTGGCAGTTTGGGGCTGGGGAACTCAGTGTCTTGGGCATAGCTGGGCTCTGGGAGCTGTGGCAGCTGCTCCCAGCTTTCCTGCCTCCCTCTTCAGTTGCCCAGGCCCTGCAGGACAGGCCTTTGTCCTCTGGGCCCTGTGGCAGCAGTGTGGGGTTGCACCACCAGAGAGCTGTTGGTGGTGCAGCTGTTCAGGACTTCACAGCACAGCACTGTTTCCACACAGGCCGACAGCATCTGCACCCTTTCTGAGCACCTCGTGGAGCTGCTTCATGATGGAGATGGAGATGTGGTCGGGATGGCCCTATCTGTGTTCCTGAATATTCTCCAGGACAAGGACATTGAAGAATTCAGCTCCACTGCCCTGAAGCTGGCTGAGGCACTCCGGCCACTCTTTGATAACGTAAGGCTCTGGCTGCCTGGTCTGCCTGCAAGCTTTGTTCCCTGTGGTTTTTCAGGTCTGGGCCTGTGCCAGCTGGGCCTGGAGCACCCAGTGCTGAGGTCTTTTTCTCTTTCTGCACCAGGACAATACCCATGTGCAGCTGCTCTCCATTCACCTCTTCAGAGAGGTGATGGAGTGGCTTGCAGAAGATGGAAGAAAGACCTTGAATATGCAGGTGCACCAGAGCCTGGTCCCCCTGTTCTTCCATTTGCACGAGGAGAACCAGTGCGTGGCAGAGGTGAGCTCTTGTGGGCTCTGGTGTCCCTGTGCCAGGGGCTCGGCTGTCTCTTGCCCTGGTGCCTCGCAGGCTTCAGCCTCCTCCTGGCCCTGGCCCAGAGTGCAGGTCCTGTGCCCTGGGCTGTGGTGCCATGTCCCGGTCTCTGCTGCTCTGCAGGCCTCTCGGGGTACACTGCTTTGTGCAGCAAGTTTCCTCAAGAGGAGGGATCTCGAGCAGCTGCTCAGGAGACAGCAGCCATTGAAGTTTGTCGATTGCCTGGTAAGGATAACCCCGAAGGCCCAGCCTCAGGCTGGACAAGCCCCCAGTCCCTGATGCCCAGGCAGCACCTGGACAAAGGGCAGAACCTGAGCCAACCCTTCCCTCCGTACCCTGCTGCTCTCTGCAGATGGACAAGGATGCGAGCAGAAGGGCTGAACACCTGCGCCAGGCCCTGCCATACCTGCAGAGCCGACAGCAGCCCCTGCGAGAGGCGGCCATCCGGTTCATGGGTGAGTTACAACCCCGC